GTTTTTTGGCTGCAGGAGTAAGTAATGATGAGTCTTCTCTTTCAACTGCCGTTAAATCTGAGACATCCTGACCCTTGAGCTGGGAAGATGAAAGAAACCCTATTATATACTTGGCCTACTATCTAGGCATAGGCAAGGTGTGAAGACATCATCCTCATTACAAAACAACAAATCCATTTATTGAGTAGTCTTTTGGTTGTAGGCACTGACTGTACCATCAAGTATAAGATACAATCTCTCTCCTAAAGGAAGATTATAGCTCAGCTGTGGAAAGAAAACCAGCCAAATAATCCAGTTTTCCAGTTCAGCTATGATTACAAATTCAGTATCTGTTTACAAGGGCAATGAAATGCCAAGGATCATGAAAACCACCCTCCCTGTGGGCCCACTCTTCTGATCTCATTCTGTAGAGGGGATGTCAGTGAAGTCCTCTCCAGCCAGCCAGCTATTCTGCCTCCAGACCTATAAGTCTCTTCACTAATGATGATTCCACACGGAAAGGAGGCCCATTCTCAGCAAAACGGTGTTTCATTCAATTTGGAACTTTTAAGTGAGTTTCTCACAGGTAGTACTCTTTTCTTCTTATCCTTCAATCCTACCGTATCATATAAATATTTCCCATCAGTAGGCTGAAAATTTTTTGAAGATAGGTTTGTCTCTTCTTATTTCTATCTCTCCTCCATCAGCAATTAACACAGTTTTACTCATGGCAAATGTTTAATAAATGTCTGTTCAATAACAATAAAAATCAAATCCAAACTTTATCCCCTCCAATTTAATATGGAATCACAACTAAACTATAAAACTCATTAATGAGATTTGTTTCCCTTAAAGACGAATTCAGATTTAAACTCATACAGGAATATGGGGGTAGGTGGGAGTGAAGGTAGTGTATCTTTGACAATCTTTTCAATTTCCTTCTGCCTACTGACTTATACAAGTTTTCTAATCTCTTTATGCTTCAATTTTGGTGATTTATAGTCTCCTAAAAAGTCATCCATTTTTCTTCGATTTTCACATTTATTTGGCCTAAACTTGAACATTAAATTTTCTTATAACTTTGAAAATCTCCACATCAGTGTCTATTTTCCTATTTTGTAACGTTGTGCATTTACATTTCAAATAATCAGTTCTTAATTTGATCACTTATTTTTTTAAGTACTAATTCATTAGTATCTACTTTTATCCTTATTAACTCCTTGTTCCTATACTGTTCTAGTTTCTTTTGTTCTTTTTCTGGTTTCCTGAGTTGGGTGCTTATTTTCAGTATCTTCTCTTTGTTAATAAAAATATGTAAGGCTATCAATTTTTTTTTCTATATAAGGCTTTGGTTAAATCCCATAGAATTTGATGTGGCCTGTTATAATTTCTACTTTTAAGAACTTATGTTTTTCCCAATAGATGCTGGCATGGATGCAGAGAGAAAGGAAAGCTTATATACTGTTGGTGGGACTGCAAATTAGTACAATCTCTATGGAATACAGTGTGGAGATTCCTCAAAGAAATATATGTAGACCTACCATTTGATCCAGCAATCCCCCTGCTGGGTAGCTACCCAAAGAAAAAGAAGTCATTTTATCAAGAAGATACCTGCACTCGAATGTTTATCACAGCACAATTCACAGTTGCAAAAATGTGGAATCAATCTAAGTGCCCATCAATTCACGAGTTGATAAAGAAAATGTGATATATATGCGTGCGCGCGCACACACCCCCCCCACACACCCACACACCATGGAGTACTACTCAGCCATAAAAAGGACTAAAATAATGTCTTTTGCAGCAACCTGGATGGAACAGGACACTATTATCCTAAGTGAAGTATCTCAGGAATGGAAAAACAAACACCACAGGTACTCACTAATAACTGAGAGCTAAACTATGAGTACGCATGGGCGCAAAGAGATATAAAGGACATTAGAAACCAAGAAGGGGGGAGGATGGAGAAATGAGGGGTAAAAACTTATCTATCAGGTACAATGAACACTATTCTGGTGACAGGCACACCAAAAGCCATGACTTAAGCATTATACAAGGTATCCATGTAACAAAAACATTTGTACCCCCTTAATATTTTGAAATAAAAATAAATAAATAGAATGTGTG